ACACACCTGCTCCGGCAAGACAACACCTCTTTAAACCTCCCCAGACAGTGACACAAATTGGAGACCAGGTATCCTAATACTCAAGACAATGAGGGTCATCTCATTCAAACGACCGCAAGAGCCACACACTGAGCTCCATACATACTTTCTTTAGGCTGACTGGAAGCCGCCTGAGCTCAGATGCCATCTTTTCCTCTCCAGTCACGTCAGTGTGACCGGAAGCTTGTAGAGACTAAGCCCAGGTCTGCACTTCATATAAACTCAGCAGTTAATTCTGAGGTTGGTAAGACCCCACTGGGTAATCACTGGGCTCTGTTTATTCATGAGAACAGGTTGCATAAATAGTATTCAATAACGATGTAAACATCATATTACCAGCTTTCAGTGTTCTGATCAATACGGCATTGACTAACAGTTGTATCTCCAATGGCTATCTATTAGTTGATTGGACTTGTTGAAAATCAATCATTCTACTACCGTGAAGAGTCAGGAAGTGCTGACCTGTGTCCAATATTCCACTGGCAGGTGCTTGTGCATTATTTGGTCTGAATATGGACCAGGGCTTTTACAAGCTATGGAGGTGCCCTGCCCCTCAGTTACACTCAGAATCAATCTCTCACTGGCACTTTTGAAATACACTATTATTTCTTTTCTGTAATCTTTGAAATATAAATAAATAAATGAATTAATAAATAATAAATGAGATAATACATAGACATGCTTGATGGTCACATCTGTGATACCCCAGAACGATAGAAAAACTGGCACCAAAGGAGAACACAATGAAGACCTCAACTGTGGATGCTGGAAGGAAAAAATGGACCACTGAAAATGTCAGAAGCAGAGAAAAGGTATGGGAGTCAGCTTAGAAGGTAGGGCCTGGGTATCCAACTCCATCTTCAGTCTCAGGGTAGGTGAGCCCACTGAGCCAACACACCAGCCCTGAGTTTTGTTATTGAATACAGCTGTGCTGGTAAAGGGTCATGTTAGGAGTTTTATTTCTGTACCTTTCTTCCTCCATGTAAGGTCCCTGGCCTTCCAACTACTGAATATGACTTTGAGAGTAGTCTATAGACTTAAACAAACTAAAATGAAGTCATTTTGATTTGGAGTATGCCTTAAAATAATGAGAGATACCTTTACAAGAAGAGAGAGCTGAGCATATTTATAGCCACCTGTAATGTCAGTGCTCAGGAATCTGAGGCAGGAAGATTGCTGCAGGATTGAGGCACAGACAGACACTGAAGTGCCAGATTTACAAGCCATGGGATGCCAAGGATTGTGTGCAAACCCTGGAAGCTGGAGGAGACAAGGCGTTGCCTAGATGTTTCAGAGGCAGCAGGCCCCTGCTGACAACTGGATTTCAGGCCTTCAGCCTCTAGAAACATGAGGGGTGAGGGGAGGGGATGAAAAACGTATTGTTTTATTTCATTTTCTGATAGAGGGTTTCTCTGTGTAGCAGCCCTGGCTGTACTGGAACTCTGTAGAACAGGTTGACCTTAAACTTACAGAGATCTGCCTGCCTGAATTTTATTGTTTTAAACTGCCAGGTTTGTGGTACCTTGTTACTACAGCCCTAGAAGGCTAATATAGGATAAAAACATCAATTCAATTTATGCTGAAAAAA